CTCACTCACTCTCACTCACTCTCACTCACTCTCACTCACTCTCACTCACTCTCACTCACTCTCACTCACTCTCACTCACTCTCACTCACTCTCACTCACTCACTCACTCACTCACTCACTCACTCACTCACTAGTAGTTGCCAGGCCGATTTCTTGGGGAGAGCAACTTCGGGAAATATGCAATGCGACTTTGCGACTTCATGGTGGACTACCTGGGAGAAGTTTGACATGAAAGAGCGCGGTGGTGACGGGGTTCGCGGCTGATATTCTTTTCACGGCTGTAGATGATCGAGAAGGCCAGGCGCATGTGGTCCACTTTTCTTGGGTGTTTTCTTTTTTTCTATCTCTCTCTCTCTCTCTCTCTTTCTTGGGCCCCGAACTATCCCGAACCTTTGAGCAGGCTGCCCAGGATATTTGTTGTGTCACGTGACAGTCACTTGAAGGTCTGTAACTATATATATATATATGACCTTTCTTGATGGGGTAATACCGTAGGCAGTTGTTTGATGCATGTTCTATGAGATCACCAGGAAGGTTTTACCTACATGCCAAGAACCTCTGAATCAACAGATGCCTTGTCAATGAAGCTTCCGAACTGGACATCTCCGACGGCCCGATCCGCATCGTTTTCGACTGGACATCCACTCCCAGCTTCCCAGCTTCCCAGCTTCCCGGACGGAGTCTTCCTCTCGCCGCCGGACTCTAAGGAATGGGAACTCTTGGTTTGCAACAACAATTGCCGCTGGTGCAAATACTGGGTCCAGAGGTTGTTCTTCTTGGAGGGATGACTGTGAACCAGTGGATCCTGGTGATGTTTAATCTTTCTTTTTCTCACCTTTTTTCCTTCGCTTCCATGTTGGATGTGGTCCCAAAACGGCTGGGACCATTTGTCGTGATGGCTTGGTCCACAGGACGGATGGTCCAACGGCGGTTGGCCTTCCGAACCTTCCGGCGGTTTTCCACCAGCTTCATGGTCCAATGAGCATGCACAACGATGCAAACGCATCACAAGTTCACTTTCACCCAGACGCTCCAAACAGGTCTTGGTCCTTCAAAACGATAGGGATTTGAGGGTCCGGACCCTCCATGTGAGGGTACGGCCCCCACTTAGGAGGGTCCATGAGCGTCTGGGCAAGAGAGAGAGAGAGAGAGAGACAGAGAGAGAGAGAGAGGAGTCACTCTCAGAACGCCAAGGCCTAAGTGTCTCGCTGCAAGGGCAGCCATCACTGGCACGAGAGGCACAAATGGTCTTTCGCTTTCGAGACCGCAGTCGGGATGTCTTTGTCTCCAGTGGACAGGCGGGAGTGGATGGAGTGGTGCAGTGTGGAGTGGTCGCTGGTCGCGTTCCTTTTTTGGAGTCCAATCATCTGGCTCGTGCTTGGTTGGGAATGAGTTTTCTTGTTTTGGAGGCTAGGCCAACCTCGTTGGCACTCGCAGTGGTTCAACAACAACCTTGTGGTTTTCCAATTGCTTGGATTCTTGCCATGTGGAGATGCTTTTTGTGCTCCAATGGGTGACCGGTTCCGCATTCGATGTGGCCAGAATTCGATGTGGCTGGTTTCTGGCCGTCGAGCCGCTTGGGACCTTGGAGGGCAAAGCACGCCGTTGAGCCGGTTGAAGGCTTAGGAGATGGGAGCAGGTGGAAGCAGGTGGAAGCAGGATGCACCTGACAGTACCTCCAGGTTCAATCACCAGTTCAATCCGCCATCCACATGCTTTTCGTTCAACACATCGATCGATGTTTGGGGAGACAACGCCGTGGTCTTTCAGCCGCAGCAAACCTTCCCTGCCGACGCGATGGACGCGATGGACGCGACCAGCGAATGGTTCGCATAGAAGCGACCGGCGCCACACCATTCCACATCGGATTTTTTTGGGTCTCTTTGGACCGGGTCGAAACCCGGTCCTTCCCCAAAAATCATCAAGCCCATTGGTGCTCGACCTGTCGAACCCCCCCTAAAACCACGTCGACACCTCGACACCTCGACCCACCGGTGTCGCCTTCGGAAGCGCGGCGTCGGGGTTGACGCCGGAGGCGTCCCTGCTCCGGCGTCCGCCCATGATGGCACCCGGGTACTGGACGGAGCCCGGGAAGGCTGGGAGCCTTCGAAGAAAAACCTGCGCTGAGTGGAGATGCCGAATTCTATTAGTGTTTGTACCATGTCCTAAAGTTCAGTGCTAAGGTTTGTAAGAAGATACATCCTACATGGCCTTGATTGATCCCAATTTACCACGACCAATCGGCTTATTCACCCATCAGTTTTTGCCCACTGAACTCACTGCGAGTAGGAATAAGTATGAAGCAATTAGTGCAACAACAGGTATTTGTTCTCCCCTCAGGGCATGTTGACTAGTGTGGGTTACTGGTCCACCGACGATGCTTGTGTGTGTGGTCCATCAGGAATGTATACAATTGCAATATACATCTTTAACAATATCCCTGTGCAGATATCCCCTACAGATAATATGCTTGGTACCCCAAAAAGAGCTTTGATTTTGCAAAACAGCACATGTGCCTACTAGGATGCCCTGTACGTTGGGAGGTCGAGAGATGCTGTTTTTGTAATACAAGTCTTTTTTGGCTCAGGGGGCTTAACATTGTAAATAATCAATATGTTGCTGTGGATGTCACACTTGTGAAGTTGGATTTCTTGGATTGGCGTCTAAGAATGGCGGCGAAACACGCTGTTAGAGCGTTGCAGCGCAAAGCTCTGGGCCATCCAACCTTGGCCGACACCAGGTTTTTGCTTTTGTAATATGTGCTTGAATGTTGTGCTGAAGCGGGTGCTGATTTTGTAGAGGAATGAAGCTGAATGAGGCGGCAGTCCTCCATATACACTCGCCATCCCCTAGGGACCAGCTGAATCTGCAGGGTGATAAATATAGATATCTACGTCGTAGATGCTGTCTTCTTCAATTCCACGGGCCCTGGAAGCTGTTTTGACAGGCTGGGATGGTGGCACAGGAGGTGGTCCCTGCGAGTAGTGAAGAACTGGTCACTTGGAGGATGTTCCAGTGTGTGAGCCCGGAGTTCTTGTCACGTGACAGGCCGGCGAGAAGGAGTTGAATGTTTTTTGAAGCGACCCTCTTTCCTTCTGTTGATTGACCAATTTTGCCCTGCGAACCGCACATAATCTATGCAGCATGCGGATGGAATGGCCTGTCTCCAACTGATTCCAAGGCTGTATCACAGAAAACTCATTCAGCACGACATGGAGTCCAATTCCGTCGACATGTGCCAGCATATTCATCGCGTCTAACATCCTGACTTTGATGGGGTTTCTCGTTGGGACATCAGCCACGGGCGAGGTGTCTGGGTCTTTAGAGCCCGAGAAACAGCCCATGGTTACGTGGAGAATGGCCTGGCCCCGAAAGGAAGACCAGGTGCCATCCACTACAAACAGGTGGTGCCATCCGCTTCCATCGTCGAAGTTTTCGGGAGTGTACCAATTTGCATATTGCCTCCAACATTGAGCAGCTATAGTGAGCAACATGCCACACTGAAGGTCCTTTTCGAGGCTCTTTGCGCTAATGCCAGAGAGATTCGTGATAGCTCTAGGCGAAAATTATATCTTTGTTCTTTCATTCTGGGGGAATGAAGCAACGTGCGATTTACCAGGTATGACTTAGAAGTTGTTTTGCCTTAAAAGGCCACACGTTGTTTTTCATGTTCGATTCCACATGCGCTGAACAAGGTGTTCTGCGTGCACCCAGTCGGATATGCCCAGGTGATGCTTCAAGAGGTCTTGGATGGAACCTACAAGGCTGGATGTTTTTTTGATGTACAAGGATAAACATGATAAAAGGTGGAGCAACAGAGATGCCAAAGAAGAATCTGACATTCCACAAAGTTGATATGTGTTGTTTTTTAAACGACGACAGCACGCCAAAGCTCTCGTGACCCATCCTTAACCAAAGTTCTTCTTGGGTGCCAAGATATGTCCCCCAAAACCACCACATGCCATCATATGCCCATATCCCAGGTCGATCACTTTGCAAAACTCTTTTTGCTCGTCAACCCTTGGGTTTTCTACCATTCTTTCCAGTCCACCCCACCGGTCGGGGCCGCGCTCATCGCGGCCGCGCACGAGGCGAAGCGCACGCGGGACCGTCTGGGACAACCGGTGCCGTCGCGCTTGGTCGTGGTGGCCGCCCTGCGCTCGGAGACGCCCGAGCTGTGGGCGCCTCGGCGGTTGGGGCGGTGAACGGGGCGAACGGCCGAACGTTGAAATGCAGGTTCTGAGCATTTATATAGTACTCTAGAAGCAACGAATGTGTCTCCTGCATAAGAAGCAACGAATGTAGCAAGGTGCATCGCTATTAAGTAACAAGAAGCTATTTTTGTTGTGTTCTTGTGGTTTTGAACATGGGAACGCAGAGCGTTTTCAGAAAGATCTGGAAGCTACCTGAGGAGTTGATGTGTTTTTGATGAATTCAGGGCGAACTGTTGTGGGTTCCCCTTTTCAGCACAGAGCAGAGATACCCAGAACAATAGAAAACACATCAAAACACCACAGCATACACAAGATCAGATGTCACTGATGTCTGAATTACTTTCCTTTCAAATATGTCTCCAATAGTGATAGCTTGGGGTTTTGGTACCGCGGTGGTACCGTTTCGCAGGTGTCTTGGTCATGCGGCTAGCGGGTGTCTGGGTCATGTCGATAGGTGGTCTGGATCTCGGTCGTGTTCAGGTGGTGTTGACAGGCCAGTTTTTGTGGTGGGTGGTTTGGGTGGCGGCGGTGTCTTGGTCATGTTTCGGCCTTGTCTCACTCATGCTTCGGCAGTGTCATGCGGTGTCTAAGTCGTGTTAATGTCTCTCGGTCATGTTTCGGTGCTGTCTCGGTCATTTTTCGCTGTTTCGGTGGTGTCGGTGATGTTTTGGTGGCGTGTTTGTCCTGTTTGGCTGCTTTGGTGTATCGGTTCTATTTTGGTGGTCACTGGCAAGCCGCCCGACGTGGTTGCCAAAGCGGTGCTCCTTGCAAGGTCAGCTTTTGTAGCAGCCCAGGTTCTATGCTCTGGCGGCGTGCCAGCTCCGCATGCGTCGAAATCTTCCGGACTGCGACGCTGTTGTTTGCCCAGCTTGTTGTCTCGGCCCACTGGCCTCGCTGGCTTGACAGTTAAGGACACCATCATGGAGCATGGCGAAGCTACAGCATACAGGCTGTCTGACTTTTCTTTTGGGGGGGGTGCGAGGTCACCCCATTGTCTACCTTTCCCTCCCTTGTTCTCAACCGGACTTGCCTACCAGGCTGTTTGGGCATGTTTGCTGATGTTTCGGCGGTGTCTAGCCTACTCAGTCTTTGTGCATGTATGAGCTGTGCGCTTGCATGTCGCGTGAGTCAGTGTACGGAATAGATTGTGCGCCGAGGTGTTAAAAAATGCTTTGCTTGAGAGGAGAATGACTTGTATAGTTGTTGGAGGGAATCTGATTTGGCGAGTAAATGCATGTTCTGCATACGTTGGTATTCGATTTTTACAGCCGCTTGAAGAGCATTGGTATTTGGATAAACTACGCGCTGCGTGTCCAAACGCGTAGCTTCCGAGTACTTAACTATGCTCCCTGTGAGAGCCGCATTCATTGCACCTCTCCTGTTCAAAGAAAGAACGCCTCCGTCATGGAAAACACATGGTCTTTCTCCCTTTCTGTGGTAGCGGTATGTTGTTGTCGTATGTTCGTTGGTCCCCCCCATGATATCCTTTATTCAATGTCTCATGGAACTTGCCTGCGTGGAACTTGCGCGCTCCCATGTCCAAACACCTGGCGTGCCTTTTCCACATGTTTCTTGCGTGCGTTTGGCTGGCTCGGCGCTTGCGTGCTTTGGTGGGTATGTGGTTCGGATGCACGAATGGTGCGGAACGGGCTCTGACTGTCCGCTGCATTCATGGCAAATTTACTGTTTTAAATTGTGCGCTCGTCGTTCAATACATGTTCCTTCTCCTTTGGTGATAACCTTTGCCTGTCATTGGTATGAACCTATTTCCATTTCAGTCTCTGTCGGACTAGGAATAGTGCGCGTCGATATTAAAACCCTTCTTGCTTGGTGCGAATCTTGTGTCGTGCTGTATTGACTTGGTTCTTCAGACATATAGACCATGCGCAGGCGCTTGAACGGACAACTCGGCCACTGGCAAGAATTCTTAAGAGCTTCGTGGTCTACGAAAAATACATGTTGTTTGCCTAGTGAACTTGTTTTTGCTACTTGTTGTCTAGATCTTGTGGTTGCATGTCAAAACCTTCTTGTGTTGGCCAAAAATGGTTGCCGACATGAAAGCTGCTTGCCTGACACTGCACATGTTCATGCATGTGTCCACTGCTTTGTTCTTTTTCTGTTTAGTTTTGAGAAGTGTCTTCTTCGCTTGTCAAGATTTGCTTGGCTTGTGTGCTTTTGTAAAACTACGCCCTACAGGATTGCGTGTCCATGGGGACTGCAAGTGGGAGCCACAAGAGGCAGCCAGCATGGAATAGCGTAGATTTGAGATTGGGTAGACCAAATCAACCTGGGGTTTTCGTTCTTGCTCATGTGCAGACACTTGAACTAGAATTCGGCCATGGGCGAACATTTCTTAAGTGGCTTGGTGGTCTATGGAGCACACAGTTTGCTTGGATATTGAATTTGTTTGTGTAAATTTGTGTAGTTATACACTATTGGGTCGCATTTCGTGATTTGTTTGTTTTGGAATTGTCCTCCATATTCGATATGTGAAAGAACAACGCAACGAACAATACACGGAAAAACAGTGCCAGATCTTAGCGAATGCTTTGCTATTGGGGTTGTCAGCTGGGGTAATTGGGTCTGTCTCACAGGGATCAACTAGCTGGGTTCGGTTGGGTTAGGTGGAAGAGTGGAACATAGTGGAACACATTCACAAATGCATGTGTTGATGAACCTCCACTTGCGATACCCTGCCTTTTCAGTGTGCCTTCTGCCTAAGCAGGTGAATTCCACCATAGCCTACCTCATGGCCAATCGCAACATATGAGCGACGGACAAAATTATTGATTGACTTATTTAGGCACGGCATGACCCTAAACCTATGTTGAGGGTTTTGTTTCTGTGGAAAACAATATGGTCCCCACCAAAAAACGATAATATTGTTAAGATGTAGTGGGTACAAAGACGTTTGTGGTTAAAATATGTTATTGCATTTGAATGTTTATTGAGCATATTTGAGCTAAACCGATGGGTGCAACTTTTCATCAATGATAATCCCCGACAACTTCCCAAACGATAATCCAAACGATAAGCGAACGATAACCTAAATGTCACGCCAGGCACTCCGTAGACCTACTTCTCCACATTACCAGTGTTTGTTCCTGGGCCGAGCTACTAGGTCACCGCTTATGTGTTGTGATCCTTGCAGAGCCCAGTGCCACAAGAACCCAAGTGCATAATTCAAGTGCTGTGCCATTCCTGTGCAGAAAGCACTGTAAGCCTTTAATCTGAGGTTGTGAATTATATTTTGTGTTTTTGTCTATGTGCCGGTATGCTATGCTAACTACGGTTTGGAGAACATTGAAGAACGATATGGACCCCACCAAAAACGATAATCATGTCAAATGGTATTTGGCTACACAAGTAATTTTGTCCGCTGCTCATATGAAGAAACCATCGACCTCGCAAAGCCGAAATGCCCATTCAGCTCTTCTATCCTCCATCCATCTATCGATGCTGCATGTTTGTTATTGTTGATAACCCATCCGGTCACCTTTGTCTGTTTAACCAGCCTGGACGTCCCAGGACCGCTATGCTCGCCGAAGACAGCGCCTGGAACAAGAACTGAAGGGCGAGAAGGACATGGATTGAGTTGGGAAAGCATCGACGTCGGTCAAATGAGGGAATCGATTGGTCGGTCAAATGCTTGACCCGTGTGGTCGGACCCAGCGAGTCTCAGGTCTGGCCGTTTTTGCGCACACCGAAAACGAGAACGGATAAACAACCACGATTAGATATAAGGATAGATAGGGTTTGAACGGTTTGGTAAGCATACCCGAGTGATTGGATCACTTCGGCAAATAAACGTGACACGTTTCCATGTTGACTCTCATGCAATTTTTGGTTAATTAAAAACATTACCCACACAGCCCACACGGGCCCCTTAGAACAAACAACTGTTACATTGCAACTACCAGGGATACCTGTCGATCAGGACCTGGTCACACCGGTGACCTTGGCTGCCAGCTTGGGCCTTACGTTGCGCTGCATCCACGAGGACATGCGGGAGCCGAGGTTCAACGGGAGAAAAGAAAGGCCTTCAATGACCCAGAATGAGGATGAAGTAGATAGCAAGTATAGCCCGGACTGCTCAGTTGATGCATGTTTTCACAACAGATCGGTTGTTTGTTGATGTATGTTGATGTGTTGAATCCGGAGACAGTCTCAGACATGAACATGTTGTCAGGATGAAATCGGGTGCCAGACACTGTGCCCCAAGCAAACTCCACGTGGAGTGGGGTGAACCGTTTGAGTCCCACCAAAACTCGGCGACTCGTCACGAAAAAACAATTGGTTCACCGAGAAAGGTTCTGCAGCATGTGCGAACTCGCGCGGCACGTCAAGGACCGCGGCAATGCCAGCAATGAAGCGTACCTCCTTCACGGTTCCTTGTTGTGTTTTTTGAGCGGATAGTGATGGGTCATGAGACTCTTTCTTCAGGGTCAGCGAGTCATTGTAACATATTGTAACACTTCCAATCTTTTACCTTTTTGGGGTGACTGTCATGTAGCACCCAACGAAATGTGACAATAGCTGGACCGATGAAGTGGATTGTTCGGCTCGTGTTCGCTCAAAGGGTTCAAAACGGTTGGCGCAGTTGCTGTGTGACGCACACCCATTTCATACGCTACAGAGCCTACAGTACTATTTCTAGCGGAGGTTGTTTTTTGACCCACACCATGTTTTTGTTACTCGTCATCTCAGATGCTAATGCAACATCATGCCTCTTTGACTTGGAAGATTTGGTGACGATTTTTCAAAATCATTTCTTCATATAGCAGCCTGATTGTTCAGTTGTGTTCTTATTTATTCACCATTTGGACTGGTTTGGCGTCCTTCTTCTCGGCCTGGTTTGGCTGCGACCGACGCCTTACCCGACGGATTGCGACCGTCTCTTCAGTGGTGAGGAAGCAATCCGACTTCTGCGATGTCCATCTTGGGGACGTCCTTCAAAATGGACTTAGCGGGCAAGAACGCTGGGAGCATGTTTGGACCTGGCATCTATATGGCAGAATCGAAGCTGGGCTGAAGTGGAAGGGTGGATTCGCCGCATATGATGGGTTTGACAGACTCATTGGCTGGTATGGTGTGTGGTGTTAACCATACTGATGGTCGCCTTGGTGCAGAACACACACCTAGGTTTTGAAATGTTTTGGATGGTTTCGCAGGGAGGGCTCATCGAGATTTTAAACTCCGAAAGCTCTGAAAGCCCTCCGAAAGCTCACGAAAAAAGATCACGACCATGCTTACTGTAGGTCCTTGTTCAAAAGACATTTGGGATCATTTGTGTGTGTATTAGAATAGGGATACCCACCGACACCTGCGGAGGCTCCGGTCGGATGCTCCGCTCTTGCGCCGACGGCACCAGTGACCGAGACCCGTTCTCCGACCCGTTCTCCGGGGTCCGGAACTTGTGTGGGGAGAAGTACACTATCTTTGACCGAAGATCGAGATCCTTTGTGCACTATAAGAATCATTATGACCAGAACGCAGGGATTTGGATCCTCAAAGCCTTCACCTTAGGGTGTGTTATGAATGTATCAATTGCAGCTAAGTGCCGCTATAGTTGGAGAATGAACGACGTGTTTCTGGCCAGTTGAGGTCCTTGAACCGTCGGTTGTTGAGGTCGGACTGCTCATCCAACTCGGGATGGAACACCAATGACTAAAATTCCGACCAGACGACTGAGGTCCGTGAAAGCCGATGAGTACGCCCGGGATGACACCAGCGGCTCCTACGCAGGTGCCCCGGATTGCGGAGGGCGCAGGGATCGCGGGGATCGCGGAGGGCGTTGGAGGAAAGGACTTGAAGGATCTCCTGCGATGAGAGACGTCGAATTCTTTGAAAAACGTCGAAGAACACGTTGTTTGGACATGCATCCTGGATGTTGTCTTGTTTTAATGTTCTTTTGTGAAACCAGTCGCAACTGGCATTCCGTTAAAACAGGTGGTGTCACCGTGTGAAGGTTCGAAACACATGGACGCCGTGACAAGTATTGAGGTGCCTGGAAAACCCAAACAACCAGAAACAACATGTTTCCCCAGACGGCCGCTTCCGATGTAGTGTATCTCAGTTGGTGGGTCTTCTAATTCTATGTTCGATATTTTTTGTTCAGTGTGTCACAGGAAGATCCCAAGCCTCACCAGCATTTGGGTATGGTTCCGGGTTTCTTGAGAGTTTCAGCATGTTTCAGTGGGGTGCTTGGTTCACGACTTTGAGGCTTTATGTATTGAAGGTGCTCCAGGTCATTGGAAGATTTTCTGACATGGCTTGGTCCCATACAAGTTGCCTAGAGTGAACTCCCCAAATAGATGTAGGAATGGCTGTCCTAGTATTGTAGCGGCACACAAACTGTTGGACATCAACGGCTCTGTACTGCTAGCGCATGAACCTTTGTGCCCGGTCCGTGCCTGGCACGGATTTGCAGCTGACGGACGTGTTGAGCTGAGGTATGCAACCACTCCAGCTATACAGTAAGCAGTAGGTGTCCTACCCTGAACAAAACATATATAGTTTACAACCTGCATCTTGTTCCATTGGCCTTGGACTCCAGCTACAGCGGGGGGCATCTTGGGAAAAGGACATCCGGTGCAAGACCTGGTGAGTTCAGCGCTTAAGCTTAGTAGCTACAAAACCCCTGTGCTTGTTAGCTTAAACAAACTTACTATAAGCCTCCTCACAGGCCATGATATAGGCCTGTCCTATCGCTCCCCATGTTAAAAAATAGAAGACATCCAAAAGAACCACCAGTTAACAGCTCATTCTCGCAGCAAAAAACAGAGCTTGCAGCTTCAAAAGATCGAAGCTCCACGCGAAAAGGTTTCTTCTCTTCTTGCGATCACCTTGTCACATAAATGCATACATACTCTATATAATCTCATCTAATACCAAACATGTCAGGGCCGTGCCCCACCAATCCTCCCCCAATTTTCGGTGTCCACCTTCAGCCCGAGGATCGTGTATCGGGTGGTCTTCTTCGTTGGTTGCCACCTCTCTCCCCCACCTCCGCGGCCTCCGCTGCCTCCGCGCCTCTGCGCGTCGACCGCAGGTCTCTTTGCCGTCCTCTTCTGCCGTGCCTTGGTGGGCCGATCCCTGCAGGTCACCGATCCCGTCGCCTGGCGGGTTCGAGTGGAGGAACGCGGCGGAACGGACGGAAAAAGGACGTGACCGGTGGCGGTGGGTGGGTAAGAGCCACGGGGTGTGATACGAAGGAAGGAAGGAAGCCACACCGGAGGTGTGAAGCCGAAGAAAAGGTGGTTTGGTGGCGTGGTTTTGGGATGTGCATGGGCGGGGGGCCTGTTCTGATGGTTTTCGGTGGGGTTTTTATTGGATCAGATTGGAGCAGGATCTGACGTGTTTGGTTTGTTTAACACATAGACTTCGAGTCCAATGATACATGAGTTCCACTATTTCTCACCTTCGCAGATTGATCTGTGCCAGTGATGCCGCCCTCTCTGTGGCCAAACAGTGACATGTCTTGAAGGATGAAGCCGTAAGAATTCGGGCCATCGAACAGATAGGGTTTGGTGAAGGGGGCCCTTTTCCCCGGAGAAGATCCGACCCCCAAGAGGTCCGAGCCCGGAGCTATGCATCCCTCGCCGTCCCAAGTTCTCCGGCGCGAACGTCTCAGGCGGACTATGGGCCTCTGGTCACCAACGGAGACTTCCACTCGGTGGTCGGGGACCGCGAGCGCGCCGTGGGCACGCGACTTGGGCACCGTACCGACCGCGGTCGCGACCGCGGTGACCGCGATCCGGAGGGGTTTCCCCTAACCGCTCGCCAGCGGTTCGGGGCACGAAGCTAGCAGGTTCCTCCCAAAAAGAGGGCGGGGGCTAGTCCGACCTCTTCTCTTCGACTCATAACGGCACCAATCAATGTTCTTGCTCTTTTCGACGTGTTCCGGTTTGCAAGGTCAAAGGGGCAGCCACGCCTGGTGGAGCAGTTTTAGTTTCTGGAGGCTTTACCCAAGACCCGTCTCGCCGTTGCACACTATCTTAAAGCATATAATATGATTGAAAGGATTTACTATTTACCCTCTCATGAATTCTTCAAACCTGCCTCCTAACATATCCGAAAGATAAACACCCAAATGCCCAATGCGCTTCGCTGCGCTTCGCTGCGCGTCGCTGCGCTTCGCTGCGCTTCTCCGTCGTGTTGGTGTCCAAGGTTTCGTGAGTTCGTCTTCTTTCATGAAGAGTCCATCTATCCCGAGTTCGCGGTCTTCTACCGCAGAGAATTGTAGAGGCGCAGTTCGGCGCAACTGCGGGCGTTTTTGCCGCCGAGTCGGTCGCGCCGAGCGGTCGGTCGCTTCGCCGTGGCGAGCGAACAGAGCGACGGCGGAGTCGAGACCTGGGAGACCTGGGAGGTGGTGTGGAGCAGAATTCGGAGTTGGATTGACGGAACGAAGCAAAAACAGTCACTCCACACTTTTGGTCGTGTTTCTTCCGCGATTCTCTCGTTCGGCAGACGCATGTCATCTTTCAAAAGCAGTATCCCTTTTCCTTCCACAGGGAACATGGAAGACCACTGACTTGTCCCCACAGGCAGAGGGGGTCTTAGATCTAGCAGCCTAGCACTGCACACCGTCCATCGTTTCTTCCCGCAAGCTCCCCATCCAACCGCTGATCCAAACCCCCTGCTCTCGAGGTGCTGGGACCCGTCTGTTTGGGGTGCTTTGGGGTGCTGAAGGTTCAGCCGATGGAGGGAGACTCGGCTGGGAGAAGCCTGGAGATGCCATGACCGATTCGTGCAGGTTTTGGGAGACTCCGAGAACTGAGCAAAGCTTGGGTTCCGTGATCGGCGTGATCGGGCTTTCTGACCATTTCTCCAAGCAAAAGGTTTCTATAGATGAAGTGATTTGGAACCTCTGGCTCTTGCTTCGATTTGAGAGATGGGGGGTCATTCTCAGAATCAACGGCTTTGAGATGGTTTTGGTGTGTTTTCCCTTCAACCAGGAAACATCATGGGACTCTCTCGTTTTGGATACACAGGTATTGATATTGCTCCTGCAGAGTCCTCTTCTGACGGTCTATAACTTGAAGCTTAAGAACTGACATTGGACGTTCGGAACGTTGGAGAACGTGTTGTTTCTCTTTCGGAGTTCCTTGCAGCCACCACGAAAAAACACCGCTCATTTGGAACCTTGGAAAGCCTTTAGTCTTTCAAGCTTTGCATCTGAAGGATCTCGGTTTGTACAGTCAACCAGAGATCCCACCGTCACCAGTTTTCGGAGCTTCTTCGATTCCCAGCGACACACGCCCAACTCCCTCCCGAACGTGCGGAGACGAGTGTGAGGAGCGGTGTCCTGTTCCATCCGCCGCAAGTGCTCGGTGGATTTGGAGCCAAAAAGTACGGTGTGAACCGCACGAGAGAGTCCACTCAATGCTCCATGGATGCGAGGAGGCCACCCCCCCCCCTCCGTATCGGAATAGGGTGTTCCACTGGAAGAGGCCGGTGTTCCCCTCTTGATTTTGGCGTAGTCACGTAGTCCAAACTTAGACGCCCCTGGTCGTGCATGGTCGTGGTTGGATCGGTCTCCGCCCGCTGGTTTCACACGCGCGGAGCGTGGCCCTGGGGGAAGTCGTCTGTCGTTCGGGCCGTCCTCGTTCGGCCCCGCCAGCGCGGCTTTCACAATCCCCGCTTTGATGAGGAGGTCAGGGATCTGGGACTGCAGTCGGATGCAGCGCAGAAGGAGGCGTAAGAAGGAGTGGACGAGATGTAGACGATTCATAGGCGTAAGTTCTCTTTCAAAGTGCGGATATGTTTGTGTAGAATTGCGTGTGCTTGGCGAACGCAGCAAAGCATGTCAATTGATGAGTCTTGACTGAGTGCACACAAAGCGATGGTCGAGTCTCCTGGGGTGCCAGCTTCTGCATTGTGGTGGCTTATCCTGGTGAGCAGTCTGAGTTTAGCAGGAGACTTTTCAGAGTGCAAGTTCCATGAAAAAGACCCTATAGATCATCTAAGATCTCCTCATCCACCATCCATCCAAACCTGCTTGACAGAATCCGTCCAGATCTGGTTCTGCTCCAGGTTGGACTTGGCATGACTTAGGAGTGACAGGCACTGCTGCGTTCTGCTCCACACCCTCCTTCTCATCCCCCCGCGGCCAGGCTGCAGCGCAGCAGGACCGGGAGGCGGTCCGGTCCAACGGCGGCGAAGGGATGGAGATCGGGCTCCGATCGTCCCATCTCCTCAGGTGACCGGTGGGGACGGCGACCCCCCAAACGCACCCACCAAGACCTGTCACTGGCCCAATCGAACCGAAGCGGAAACCGGTGGGCCGACAGGAGCCCAGTCACGGGTGTGTGGAGACCCGCAGCATTCCGAGATCCGATCCAGCAGCATTCCAGTCGATTCGAGTGTTGGTTGGATCCTGTCAGGGACCCAAAAAGTTGAAGGTAGGTAACCCTTTGATCCAGCCGAGTGAGGAAACCTGATTTCCTGGCCCAGGGAGTTGAAGGAATCTGGTAAAGATACTTCAATCTTGATCCCACTGACTTGGTGCCGAGTGCAGGTCACTTGGACCAGGTCACGGGAAAAGCATGGAAAAGCACTCGACAGACTCCCTCGATTTCGATGTTTCTTCCGTCTCCTTTGGAGGCTTGTTAGGCCCTATATAACAACGACCACCATTGGCGACATGCTGGAGGGTTCCAGAGTTCCATCACGTTCCACAGTTCATTTTTGGATCTGCTACTGCCCACATCTACCCGGTCAGTCTTTGTGACTCCGACCGCCTTTGTCGCAAGCGACCGGCACGGCACGCACCGGTTCCGGCAGCGGAACGGTGCCCCGCGCCATCAGCGCCAGCAGCAGCGACCCAGGCAGCCGAAGAAGTGATCCAGTTTTGGTTCGAGGAGTTGACAGTGGACGACTGGTGCCGTTCTCAGCGACAACTACGGTGCTTCATTTTGCCCGGTGGGAGGGACACCGCGAGGAACTATAGCTGTTTGGTCGGAGGAATTTCGTTGGCCCAAATTTCTGGGCATGGGAGTTTTTCTGGTTTCACCAGTTCCAGCCACCGCACTAACGATTTGTTGGTTTTTGCTGCCCTAAGAATCCGAACGGGCTCTCCATGGCAGGGGTCGGACCCGACACCTTCGCAAGGGTCTGGGCCCTCAAGACCAGAGCCCGGATTCTTAGGGTGACACATTTCACCAGTCCGAAACTCTGAGACCTTCAACTAACCCGAAGCCAGGTTCCGCCAAAGCCACGTCCTGGACGATCGCATCCGCCAGCAGTTCGGGGCCAGTTCGGGGCAGCAGTTCCACCGCGAATCGGGGTGTAAGGGGTTCGTTCAAGTTCGGTTTGGGGTTCGTTCTTCGAAAGACAACGAAGAGAAGAGAAAGACAACTGAGAAGACTGGAACAAGAACCAAATCCAAGACAACAAAACCAGCTGCTGGCTTCCAATAGTAGGTCACCTGGCTGGACGGGGTCACCTGGCTGGACGGGTCCACTATCACTATACTAAATAGGTCTCTTTAAAACAACACCCATTTTTCCTGCCATGCAAGGAAGAGAGAATCTCCACGACGTATGTCCGACGCCTGGGCGAAGATGTCCAGAGTTTCACTTTTCCCCAAACAGTTTACTGTTGGGGTTCTATCTTAGAAAAAGAAGAGCTGGCCACACCCACTGGCCGCGCCCCTGAACTGTTTGAAGCTGTTTGGGGTCTATGCTGGTATAATTGTCATCTCTTTCCAGTGCAACGTTGCGTCTGCCAGGCGTTACATGGGCGTGCTGCCGCTGGGGAGTTAGCCGGCTGGGCACATGACAAGGATCTCGACTAGACATGACTAGACTTGAGCATCCAACGACCCACGTTACTATGGGCTGTGAGTCAACAAAAATCCCGGAAGCTCACTTATCATATCTTATCTTGACTTATTGATATATAATATACCTTTTTTTCCCCCACACGGGATGTCTCCAACGTGATTTCGGCGGAATTGGAGGAGTGAGCTCAGGCTATGCAGGCCTGCCCAACGCGCCTGCGCTGAGGGATTCCTATAAATTTTGGGTGGCCGAGTCCTTCTTTGATAAGGCTTCCTCTTTGGCATTGACTGTTGCGTGCTCCTGTTCCGTTGTCCTTGGCACTTGGGGCTTGGCTCCGGTTCTTCCTCACCGACGCAGTCAACGTCGCACGTCGTCCCGTCCACGACCTTTTTTGGGGATTTTTACAAGAGGTAATTAATGTTGATCCTATAGACAATATATACAGCGAATTCTGCAGGACAGGTATTCATTCACACAGTGTCAACAACTGATCTCTGGCCTGGGACTTGTGATTGAATCTTGGCCCAGTGCAGGACACTTGCTTGGCCTTGGTGGTGATTCTTGACCAGTTCTCTCGATGCTTGTGCCCTGGCATTATCTAGACTGCTTAAGGAGCGTCAGGGAAGATCAACCCACTCCTGGTTAGGAGGTGCCCTAATGATGAACTCATCCAGTTCAGCTTCCCTGCATTGGAATCCAACAGATGTTCCTCTTTGCACACAGATCGGAATTGGTCTAAAAAACCCTTCTACTTGTGTCACTTCCATCATCGTAGATCGTGGGCCGAACCTTCTCGCCCCTCGGCGGCCGGCAGGTACCGCGGCAGCGCCAGCGCCTACACCTGCGACTCCGCGGCGCGCGCGGCGGCCAACACCGCCATCCTCCGCGGCGACGACAAGCGCCGTGGCAGCCGGGGGTGCAGCCGTGTTCTCCGCTCGGTGGGGCTGTAGCTTAGGAGCTGGTTTTTCGGGTTCTGGAGGCCATTGTGTATTTGGCACCCATGCGTTTGAACCCACAGAAGCAGCAAAAGACGTCTGGAACGAAATCCAGTCCCAGCCACATCCTGTGTGGGATCTCAAGTAAGCTACATCGGAACATCCATTTACTTCTGCTTGTTTGGGTTTCCAGGTAGGTATAGCTATCCTACTATGTTATCCTTAAATACCCCTGAGGGTGGATTGTGTCCTCCTTTCACCAATGCAGACCACCTAGATGTTGATTTTTTCCGACCCCTTACAAACAGACCCTAGCACCCGGCCTCCTTCGCCAGGCCGTACCGCCGTCATGGCCATCGCCCGGCCGAGGACGTGGCCGCCGGGCCCCAAGCGCTGGGCGTTCTATTTGCCTTTTATGCACTCAGACGACTTGCAGGACGTGACGATCGAGTGACCGGAAAGACGGTGATGGGAAGAACACAGGTCGTTAGCTTACTCGTCAGACGAGTATATATTTCAAGAAACCAGTGGCTGAAGAGCCGTGTTGGGGAGTGGTCACTTGAAACAGCTTGACCCCTCATCATGTCATGAAGCAGCACAACACATGGATCCCATGATCGTCACAACACTGCCCACCGCGACACGGAGCAACACTGACGATCCCACCTTGTTCACAGCACATGTTGCTCATTCGAGCCGTCGAAAAGGCGTCTGAAAAGCCGTTCGTGGACAAGAACAGTCTCTCGCGCAAGACGGGTTAAACAAAGGGGGTCTTGGACCCTCAGGGATGATGTTTAGGACTGGTTGGCCTTGTACATGTATTTTTCCAGGTGCACCAGTTCTGCGTTCGTGGTCGTGTATTTCCTCGTCGGGACCCACTTGAGCTGGACCAAAAACCATGGCATTTCAACTGGGAACCGCCACGGAATCGGTTCAACTGCTCCATCTAGTCGACAGCTGTTTTCAGCTGCTCCGTCTAGCTGTCTACCTTGAGTCTCAGACCCTCCTCCGACCCGTGGAACCACCGCTTGAGTCTAGCTGTCGCCTTGACTCAAGGTAGACAGCCTAGCTGTCCCCTGGACTAGACCGCGCGGAACTGGAACTGGGTCTCCAG